CACATATATGTATACGTATACATATGTATACGTATATATATATAGACATATGTATATATATAGAGAGAGAGAAAAATAGGTATGATTGGTACCAAGCATAAATTTCGTGCTTGGTAGTGAGGTGATATAATCCCCTCCACTCATTCAAATGGGGGACCACATTCACATGGGTTGAGGAATGCATGGGGATATACAATCATTTGAATGAGTGGAGGGAATTGTTTTCAGGAAATTTAAATTAGATTAAGTTCAAGTTAACATGCAAATGCAATATTTTTGGAGCTTCATTGCCTTAAATTTGAGAAAAGCCAGATCAAACTGCAAATAAAGGACCTTTCATTGAACTGGCAAACCTAATAAAAAATTATTAATGGCTATGAATAAAAACAGAATGGAAGTTTATCAGCCGGATTCTTATATTTATCTCTATTTGTTAGCAAAAGTCAGGGTTGTCACCGTGTGAGTCACAGGGTCAAGTCGTGAAAACAACCTCTCTCATACAAAAATGCAAGGTAAGGTGGCTGCACAAAGTAGATCCAAAGTGGTCCAACCCCCTTCCAGACCCCATGCTAAGCGTGAGTTTCTTGAACTGGGCTGCCCTTTTTGGTTAGCAATAGTGGTATTCCACATGAATCACAAATGTGAATTTTCTAATAAGAATAGAAGTGTACGCATAATGAAGCCATAAGCTTGGTGAGAAATAGTGCTGGTCATTACTTTAGCAACGAAAATGAAGTAACCTAAAACTAGTTAAGTTCAATGTAGAATCACAATCACAATTCCCTAAAAAGATAATCTCATCAAGGTGTATCTGAAGGTTAAATAACAACAAAAAAACATGATTTTAATGATTCACATTGCTTCCCTGAACTGTATCATTGAGATTCAGATATCAATTCTACAGGGGAAAAAAGAAAAACTCACCTATCATGACCAAGGTCACAAACAAGTGATAAACTCTCAAACACAAAAGGTGTTGAGTCCTTTTCTGCAAAATTTGAGCTAGTATTTCCAGAAAGAAAGCACTCTCCTTGGTCAAAACCAGCATTATCAAAACTACTGTGTGATTCACATATCTGGACAAATAAAGGATTAACATTCAGCTTGACATTTAGAATAGGATTAGGTCCACCATATTTGGATATATCTAGACTCAGATCTTTGATCTCAATGCCAGCTTTTGGTGCCTGCATCAATGAAAAGGTGAAAAAAATAATAACCAAAGCATGCACATGGAAAGAAATTTAGATGCAATTAGCAGACAATGTCAAACAAGCTTTATAAGACTCATTAAAAGACATAGCACAGGTAATTTGTAGACAGATAGGAAAGAGGAATTCCTTTACACAGAGGAGATGCTACATCAAACCAATACATGAAAGTAAAAATTGTCATGTTTCTAAATAAGAAACATTGCTTACACTGAAAAAGCAAACTTTTGGCTAATGGCAGGATCCCCTTGTCCCCATCATACGGTTGTCTAGAGCACACTCTTGAATTTATCAAGTTAGGAACATTTATCCATAAGAACCTTGCAGTCACTTGAAAAAAGATGAATAAACTATTCATTTTTCACTCTCTATGGTTCCATTAAAATGCACAACAATGTAGTGATTAATGACTGAAGAAGTTTTCTGCAGATTTAGGAATTAAAAAGAAGGGAAAGATGCAACAGGAAGTGGAGATTAGACTCTTGGTCTCTTATTGACACAAATTACATGTAAGAAGATCTTTGATTCACAAATCTTCAAAAAAGCAGTCAACTTACTTTCAGAAGCTGATTTGTTGAGCAGAAGACCCCTATTAAAATTCATAAGTCAAAATATTTAAAAACAGAAAGCAAAAAAATCATTCTAATAGTATCAAAGAAAGAAGATAAATTAACAGGAAAATCTTAAATAAATATTCAAAGAAATCACACCACCACCAACTCTAGAAACGAACAAATGGAAAGAAAAACAAATCATAAACATCAAGAACTCACCTAAACAGTTAAAATGCAAAAACGCCTAAACAGTTAAAATGCAAAAACGATTAGAAAATGAAACAAGCACAAGATAATTTAACCCATTTCCCTTAAGAAACTGGAAGGACAACCCATAGGCTGAATAACTCCAAGACAGTTTTATGGTCACTAGGTCAGCTATCAAGTTATCCACTTTACACCCATAAGATGACGGAGTCCTTGTCCATTACTAATTAAAACCACAGACTGCAACATAAAATATCTAGAAGAGACATCCAAGACAAACTTATGAGAACTATAATCGCAAAATTCTGATACTTTGCTTATATAACACAAATACAGCCAATTCCAGGTTACCCTAACCACACATCTCTAGTAGAGAGCACAATGATGCATGCCAGCCAACTTTTTATTGTAACTTAACAGAAATAAAATAAAGATGGTGTTCCTCATGCGATGAACTAACAGTTTTTTAGACGTAAATGTGAAGAAACTAGAGCAGCTTCTGACAATTGACTGTCAAGAATAATAATTCACATTTGCACCTAAAGGTGAGATATAGGCTCATGTTAATATAAAAACTAGAATAAAAGCAACTAGAAAAGAAACTTAGTAAACGACACAATGACTAGCAAGAATCTGTGTGCAAGGGACATCACCAGATGAATTGAAACTGCACACACTGTGAAATGAGAGAACTGGTAAATTACCCGAGAAGAGGATCCTTCCTCATGACAATCAGAAAAAGGAGTTCAGCTAGGGTACCAAGGGCTACATATCCGTGATCATATTACTTGCACTGAAACCACACTGGCATACAACTGTAACTCTAGCAATTACAGTTTCACCTTGAAGTGCTCATTCGATCATAATCTCAGCTGCAGCATAATCATTATACATGTTTGCTTATTGCAATTTACTATCCGATACTTCAATAGTATATCGCCACTCACTGTACATACAGAAGTTACACACAACCAAACACTCCCGATACTTCAAAGTTGCTAATTGATACTAAAGTATCTTCCAGAAAAAGTATTTTCTTTCTTTTTCTCTTCTTGCATATCGAATCATTTTGCAAATTGGATTGCACTTCCAAAGACTAGGCAGCAACTGAATAAAAGTGAACTTAGATTAAAATGAAGTTTCGCCCCAGGTTTTGAAATGCTCTGGATGAAGTCATTCAAAGTTTAAACTAAAAGGCTGGTGGCTAAATAGGCCTATAATCATCAGGTTAATAGTTAATTGACCCACAAAAACTGCAAGTTAACAGTATATCCAAAAGAGCAAATCAAAGCTGTGTTTCATTTATTTAAATCTTGGCTGTATATGATCAAATTTTAAGCATTGGTGAAACCTCAAACCAGCACAAGAATTTCTCAATCCAAGGGCCTGGGATGAATTAGCATGTAGAAATGCTACTTAAAGTAGAAATACAAGGTAACTGCGTACAATAGACCCAAGATTGTCCGACACCTTCCAGGCGCCTGCGTGTAGCGGGAGCTTCATGCACCGGGCTACCCTTAAATGCTGGATAAAGTAGAAGACTGGAAGGAATATAGATATTTACATGTAAAATATAGAAGAAGGATAAAACCACCATATCAAGGCAATAAATGCTAACAGCACAATCAGTAAATCAGGCACCAAATTGATATAGCAAGTTTAATTAGTAGAATAATAGGCAAGAACACGCTTTATTTGAAGTGTAATTTATGAATAGAAAGTTATATAATGGAAAATGAATTAAAGGTAATGACCTGATCAGAAAATCATGCTACCAGCACAATTAGTAAATCATGCACTAAATTGACAAAGCAAGTTTAATTAGTATCATAGTAGGCAAGAACAAACCCTATTTGAAATGCAACTTATAATCAAATGCAAAGTTATATAAGTTTAAAGTGAACAAAAAGTAATGACCTGATCACATAACAGTCAACAATGTTCTTTTGGCTAGAATTGGCATATCATACTTAGCTGCATGTGATGCGATTTAGCACTTAATGCAGCAATTTAATTAACAAAATACAGAACTTTCTTGTAAATTTAACAAGGTGATAGATTGTCAGAAAAATACCTTCACAACCAATTCAGTCACGGAAACTGAGAGAAATCTCGCTACATTAGTCACAAGGATCCACTTTCTTTTGCCAGATGAGCGCAACCTGGGAGGTTTACTTGGGGATTTACTCTTTATAGTACTTCGCTCAGGAGGCCGTAAAACAACTTCTAGATCGCATATCAATAAATTCAACTTTGGGTCCCCAGAAATGAAACTGAACCACAGGTTGACCAGTGATTTGCAGAGGCTGAGCTTGATTTCACCAATACATACAGATTCAACGGAACCCTGAAAAAACAATTCATGAGTTTTCAGACAGCTTAAATACTTATTACAGGATCAAACTGTGTTATCAATGGAAGAACACAAGATCAATTATGCCAGTGAAAAAGTTCTAGATTAATACTAAGTTGACAAGAGATAATAAAAATAACCATAATACAAATCTCAATGGCAATCATAGAAATCCCAATAACCATACTAGTTGGTCAAGTATCTGATTCAACTTCTTCTGCTGAACAATACTCAAAACAATGAATGTTAACTATAAAAGCATGACAATCATATAATATGACTAACATGCAGATTAAAACAATTGTGTGCCTAATGTCAATCTAAAATTTCAAAGTACAAAATGTAGTAGAGAACCTTGGAGAACTTCACAGAAACATCCCTTAGACAATTGCATCCAGCAACATGAAACTCAACAGATGACCGTAGTTTCCGGCTCAAGAAGCATGTCAATAACTTTGCCGCAAATCTGAAAACAAGGAATAAAGGACTATAACACAAGAAATTATATGATAAAAGCATGCTAATGTTTTTCAAAAGGACAACCATAAAAAGAATTGGGAGAGGGAAATACAAGGTAACAGAAAAGCTCACTTAAAAATGAAAGGGGAAAAGAATTGAGGAATTCTGCTTCGCAGTGCATTTATAAGATGCATGTCAAGGCACTAATTGAAAAAACAAAAATATAAAAGTTTAATCGAGCTGAATGAGTTGAATAATTATGTTTAAAATTGTTTACAAGCATGCACATGCATGTGTGCATGCAAATTGCTAGAACAAGTACGATAGATAGATCAAACATAACATAGATGATCAGATTACTAACATTCAATGTGGTAGAGTTATGCATCCTCCTCTGCTAAAGTAACTAAGATCTTACTGAAGCACAAGAATCAATTAGTTACCTTCTCCTTTTCAATTTTCTAAAACTCGGCTTCAAACACATTTAATCAGGTGCGCCAAATGCGTTACTGGATTATGTGCCGATTATACAAGTTCGATGGAATTATGCACATTTGATTTTTTTTTAATACTATGTACGTAATGTTAAAATATCTAAAAGTAGGCAAAAGAAAATATATGAAGTTATATAGTAATGACATAACTCAAAGGGCAAGTATAATTCAAGAAAATTAAACTTCAGGTGCATATCAAGAATAAGGGTTTATATCAGCAGCACAAATTTACTTGATCTACGAATGTAATTAGAAATTTGAAAAATAAAATAGAAAGGATGGTAAGGAAAAAGGAAAGAAACTGGGGGGAAAAGAAGTTAATATATACTTGTCACTGACAGACACCAAATTGTCATTATCACGCTCAATGTCAATGTCACCACGGTGTTGCAGTCATCCATTACCACTTCTTCCGTCCATTGAACATTTCTCAACCGCATAGATTTTGAAGAGGAAAGAGATCAAGGGTCAAATTTAGGGAGAATGGAGTTGCTGCTGAGTTTTAGATAGATTGGTGTTTTGAAGCCGCATGCAAAAGCTGTTGAATTTGGAGCTGATCTCCAAACTGATTATGCAACTGTCAAATCACCTATGCAGGCTCGTCACCAATGTGATCCCAATTACATAAGTTGACCACTCTTTTGGCAGCATAGGATCAATTTACTGCAGAGTTGGGTCGCATACTTTTATATGACTGCCTTTCGCTGTATAAACATTGTTTAAGAGCATTGATCCACTTATCTTTTTAATTAATCTTGTGATAATGATGTTGAAAACGTTTATGAGCTATCTTAAGTGACATCTTGTGGTTACAAGTAATTCCATGTCTCCCTAAACAAAATAAAGTTCTCACTAGAAAAGCATAATCTAATACTTGCAAATTTCGTGGAATTCAAGACCTGGTGGACACGACTTATTACTTCATGCATCACAAAATCAGCTTTTCCCCCAAATGTATACTCTTAAAGTGCAACATGTTGTAACATGTGTATAAAAAAAAAGCTGTTTAGTCCCAGAGAACTGAGGACAAATCGTCCCTCCCTCGCTTGGTGGGACCGAGCAAACCTAACTCTTTTCTTCATGTGTTGTGATATGACCTTCCCCTAAAAAGACTCTAATAGTACTATATTTGTCTTTATGTCGTTGCTCTCCAGAGGGAGTAATCCCCTCCTCTCATGAACAATGCATGTCCTTCAAGAATGTTCATTATGTTCTACCTATTTCTTGTCATTGTTAAGGTGTTTTTATCACCTTTCTTTATGTAGCTGAAGAACGTATCCAATGTTCAGCTGACCAGAATTTAGTCCAATAGTGTTAATTCCCTTACATACATCCATGCTTAATAACTTGCCGTTTCTTCTTATACTATAACACATAGTCCACTAGGCATTGTTTTCTGAGCATTAGCCTCTTATCTGTTGATAATCTATTAGAGTAATAATGTGAATATATTTAGCAGTATGGGGTTTTGTTTTTCAATCTTATAATGGCCAAAAAAAGACTTGGAAAACCATTTCTTTCATTTAAAATAAGCTTAGGAAAGTCGATAATATAATTACGACTTACGAGAAGAATTACATGTCATGCATCTCAGGATTAAAGTGAAATTCATTTCCTTGACAAAATCTCTAGTGTGCTGAGAGGACTAGGTGAGTGATACCCTTATGTTGTGATCATCTAATGAAGTCTAGAACATACAAATAACTGAAGGCTCCAATCCTTACTTGACACCCCTGAACTATTCATTCTGTCCCTTCATACCGCCTGAACTATTTTTCAGTCTCGTCTTACCCTTAAACTATTAAATCCGTCCCTTTTTACCCCCTAAACTATTTTAAGTCCAACATCACCCCTTGATCTATCACTTCACTCCCACCTTACCCCCTGAATTATCATTTTAACAATTTAAAGGACTAAAAATACTTCAGGGTTAACAATGGACAAATTTAACAGTTCATGGAGTAAGATGAGACTCCACATAGTTCGGGGGGTACGAAGGGACAAATTGAAGAGTTCAGGGGGCAAGTAGGGGCTGAATCCAAAATTGAATTATTTAGGCTCCGAAATATGATATGAGACCTTAGAAATATATTTGTTCAGTTAATACGAAATTTCACAGATTAACAACAAATCCATCGAAAATTCAACAAAATTCGCAGCAATAACTTACACGAAGGCGATCCAGCCGACGGAGAGGAAAACAATGAGCGCGAACAACAACTTGACGGCCGAAGACGCCATCTCAAAAATACCTCAGTCTTCACGGTCAAAAATCTACGCCATTCACCACAAAAACAAAGAAAAATTCCCTAAGAAGAAGAACAAAGGCCTGAGAGGGGGGGAAATGTGATTATTTTTTTTTCCTTTTTTGGGATCGGAAGGACATTAGGGCTCGCGTTTCGAGGTTTTTATGTGAGTTTGTGGAGAATCGGGGGTTAGCGATCGGAGCGGAGGGGAGTTGCTCCGGTTATTGCGAATCTGACGACATGAGGAGGGCGTGGAGAGGAGAGGGCTCTGGTTGAGTTGAATGAATTGCACTGCATGGCATGGTTTTTTAAGGCTTAATTGCACTTACATACCCTATAGTTTTACCTACTTTGCACGTGTATACCCCGGACGTATTTGGGTGCACTTAAATATTCTAAAGTTTTTAAAAGTTGCGTTTTAACATCCTCAGTCATGCAAAATGTAACATTCGCATTCTAGTTTTAAAATATTCTAATCTTTAACTTTTGTTAAATCTACGGTTAAATCCATCAAAGTCCTACTTAGACCTAAAATAATTCTATTCTATACTAGGGTGATGGGTCTAACAGTAAATTTAGCATATAGTTTATAGATAAATTGTTCTGAAAGAAACATGTAAGTATCACATGAAATTTTTAGAAAAAAAATTCCATGTTTTGCATAACCAAAAGTGTTAAAGTGTAGTTTTTAGAAACTTTAGGGCGCTTACAGCCAAATACAGTTAGGGGTATACACATGTAGAAGGCAGGTGAAAATAGGGTATCCAAGTGCAATGAAGTGTTCTATAAAACCGGACCGTAACTCTTCATCTGGTCGACCCTTCATAAATTTATTACAGTTTAGATGAGGCTAATGGGGTGTTTGTTAACTTGCAACTGAGTTGAAAGTATGAAAGTGACTTTTTTTGTAAGTGGGAAAACGCATTCAAGTCAGCATACAAATGACATACATTGTTTGTTTACAAAAACAAGTTGTTGAAAGTAGAAAAGTGAGAATGATGTGGCAACTGTTATGAAATAATGTGGATGTCCATTTAGTTTCCCAAGAAGTTGATATTCCTCTGGTACATTAATCTTCTTCCTAGAACAACATAATGCATGTTCTTGAAAGACTAAGGTCATGAATGAGTAATTAATATGATTCATGTATCATCATCTTAGTTTGTATATAAATAGAGGTATTCCTACCTCACTTTGATAAAGCAATGAAGAATGAATGAAATAAAATTATCTCTACTTCTCGTCTACCTTTTCTTCTCTACTTCATTAATTTCATAATAGCAACATTATTTTATTTATTTATATATTAAAAAATCATGTTTTTATTTAAACCATTTTTCATCTTTATTTACCATTTTGAACCATATCCAGGACTGACATCTTGTAGTCACAAACAATAATTTAACAAAACAAATAAATCCTAAAACATATATACCCAAAATTAAGCAATCATCATGGATAGTTCTAATATAATCTCACTGATAAAATTTTAGTGAAAAAATCCTTGCTATTATTAGCGTTATGATCATTTTTTAATGCTAGCAAATGGGGCCGAGAGAATCACAAATAACACCCAATGTACAAAATATAAATAACCCAATTATTTATCTTCAATGAAAATAAATGTCATTGACATATTTCAAACCATAGCTGCAACCAAAGATGATAAGAATAGTATGCAAAAAAACTACAATTTCATTCATAGGATCATAAAGTTTCCAAACAAACTAATACTGGTTATCAAACTCTAAAGAAATAGAAAAGAGTCCTAAACTGAAGTAAATAGTGATCAAACTCTAAAGAAATTTCACAAGCTAGTAACTACAAGTTACTTTCAAATATACTAGTACTACTGTAGGAAACATACTAACTCATATTTCACTAAAGTCTTTCATGTTTTTGATATAGTCATCGACAATCTTCTTTTGTTTTGTAGGAGACTTTGCAATGAATCATGAATGTTAACGCTTTATGCTCGCTATCTGCATAATGCTCAAAAATAGCATCCAATTCATCCTCGTTGTGCTCCTCAATAGCCATGATGACCTTATTAAGTTTAAGCCTCCAATCTTCAGCTGTAGCGTTTTCAATTGCTTTGGCAATGAAAGTAAGACCTTCCTTTAGTTCTTTAACTTGGACATCATTTTTTGAATCTTTTGGTTTATTTTCCTTTGGATGCTTAGCCTTCTTTAAGTTTTTCTGAGGAGTTGTACCATTATTGACATTCTGCTTTTCATTAGCACCATCAGTGACATCACCATCCTCAGTCATTGTTATCGGAAATCCATTGTTGATGTCCTTGTTACCGGATTCATCCTGGTCTCCAAATGAATCATATAAGTTCTTTCTAAATGATTCAGTGGCAAAATCCTCCACACATACAATCTTCATCTCCTCATAAAATGGAATAGGGCAATTAAGATATGCTCTTCTAGTTTCATGTGCCTGTAAGCAATATGACAAGTAAAATTAGATATTATATTTATGAGAAATTTTAATATTGAAAATAAACTTCCAAGCACCTTAATACAACATATTTATCAGCCATATTAAAAGAAGTACACTTGTATATAACATTAATCAAGGTCTTTGTCAGTTACCGCAACTATAAGAACAGAATATATTAGCAATTCATAGAACAAATTATACGAGACAAAATAAGTTCTGGAGTGAGGTTAGACAACATACCGAAACATAAGTTTTATAAGTGAAATTGTCGAGGATTATCATTTTTTATCCACGTCCCAACCAGCTCCACTTTTTTTGTCTCTGTAGTGACAAATATCCTTCCACTTAGCTTTCAGGCTACAAAGATGATTCTCCAAATTCAATAGTATAAAACTTTGATTGAATTTTTGATTTACAACGGCGATAGCAGCAATTAAAATAGGCTTTTTGAATTTTTTTGGTTTTTGTTTCCATTAGCAGCTTGTTCAGTGAGAAATTCTAAGAGAAACCCACTTTCCTCTTTGCTCCAGCATTTGTTCGGAGTTCCACAGTCCTTCATACATCCTTCTCCTTTTGTTTCATTTTTACTCTTTTTGTATTTCTTAGAGATTGGTTCTTCAGGGATAGCATTACCTTCCTCTTCATCTTCAATACGAATTGGCTCCTCCTTATATTGTGGTTTCATCATCCATTGAGAAACAACAAGCATTGCATAATACAAAGCATTTTGATATGTCGGATCTCCGATTTCTCTGAGGATAGGAGTAAAAGTATTTGCTTGACTTCCAATTTGACTTAGAGATGCAGGTATCCCTTGACCCCAATCAGTGGAATCTTGACTTAATTCCATTTGGCATAAGTTTTTATATGTAGGCTCAGCCATGTCCTAAGCAAGTGAACGTAATTATAGATTTTACATATGAAACTATTGATCATATGACATGAGAAGATAAAAAATATATGTTGATCTAATTTAACTAAACTCAAAAAAGATAAAGACCATATATTTATACCAAGTTCCTACATTGTTGTAAAGACAAAAATAAAACCAAATAACATTCTTGAAGCAATGGCTCAAAATATATCACTAAAAGTACTACAGTCAATTGAATAAACAAAAAAAAACTACTTCTTTTGTAGCAAGTTATCCCTCCAACATGTTTCCAGTTTGATAAGTTTGACAGTAATTATGTCACATTGCTTGAGCGATATTTTCTCTCTTCTCAATCCACATTCTATTCTAATCTCGTTGCTCACGTTGAGTGAGATTGGTTTGCATAGGATTGAGTTTCACTATAGAGCTCTTCTTCACTAGCTTCATTCTCATATACTAAATTTGCAAAATAGTCATCAGCATCATTCTGTATGATATAATTATACAAAACACAACATGCGTAGAACTATATCAATTTGAGATTCAAGAGGGAAGAATGGACGACTATACAAGATTATGAATCTATTTTTCAATACCCCAAAAGCAGCCTCAATTTTTGTTTGAAGACTTGAATGCCTCAAATTAAAAAGCTCTTTAGATTTTTGGGTGTTCTGCCATGTTGTTCTCTCAAATGATACCACACTGCACGATAAGGTGCAATAAATCTCAGCACTGTTGTATAGCCCGCATCAACAAGATAATACTTGCATATATTTCAATAAAATATATCATTAGTGGTAGGATAATTTTTTTATAAATTATTTGACTATGTTCGTTATATACCTGACAGCACTTTCAGACCCATTGGTGGTTCTAAATATAATGCATCTTTTAAGACAATGAAATCCGCTGTGGAACCCTCCTGACCGGCCAAAACATAAGTAAATTACTTATTAGGCAAGCATGCTGCAAGAATATTTTGGGTAGTCCTACCCTTCCTTCCTATAAATGGAAGAGCAATTTCCTCCAGAACACTAACTTCATTATGGGTACCATCAATGAGACTCATGCTATCCTAATTAGATCCAATATATTTTGTGAATGTATCAATTTCAATGTATAAAGCAATTTTATATTTAGTTCTCATATTTCATAGAATAGAATTTACCTTGAACCATGGGAACCAAGTTGAGGAGGAAGTGATCTCTTCTGGCATTTCATAACCGGGCCGTCGTACAAATAAATCCCTCACACCACAAATAGCACGCAATACAAAATTGAAATATCGAGTAATTGTCTCTCCTGATCGTATGAACTCAATCTTCATTACCCTATTCTTTACATTATGTCCGACTATGTGAAGAAACATTGCTAGTTGTTCCTCAATCGATACATTTATAATGTCTTTTAATAATTGTTTATCTCTAAACATAGTTGCTAGTCTAAAGAACAAAACGGGAACCATTCTAAGGTAATCTATGCATGTTGTATTCCCACCATAAAATATTCTATGCATATGCACTTTTCTAAGTAGATCTCTGTACATAGAGGGTTCTCGACAAATGACCATAAAATATTCTATGCATATGCACTTTTCTAAGTAGATCTCTGTACATAGAGGGTTCTCGACAAATGTGGTCCTTACAATCTAATATGAAAAAAATATAAGTAGATCTCTGTACATAGAGGGTTCTCGACAAATGTGGTCCTTACAATCTAATATGAAAAAAATATATAGTACGCCACTACACAAGTGCTCCTGCATAAGTTGCTACTGCCCATTGTAACAAAAGGCGACGTTGAATATTGTGATCCATTGTAAATTGGTAGCACACACTAGTTTTCTCAACTTTATCAAATTTGAAGATGAATCATAGAAAAATGTATTGTTTCAGTGTACGTATTATTCATTGCACTTATCCAGTAAAAACAAA